CTACAGGTGCCCTTCAGGCCTTTGCTGTGCACCAGTCACCTTCCTCCCTGTCACAAGTGACCATGGACTGATAAGGAGTCAGGACACATGGATGCAATATACGGCATTGATATGAGGCATGCCGGCCATAGCTGTTCAGGGGATATTTCTCCCTCTCTAACCGTGGTTTCTTCGCTGGAGAAAGCAGAGGTGCAGTAGGCACTGGCAGGACTGCTTGCCAGCACACCACCTCCACAGATCTGTAGGAAACAGCACCCACTGTGCAGCAGTGCTGCTGTGCAGCACCTATCGCACACCAATCCTGCTCATTGCTCATTCTGCCTCACTCTCTGCTTATACTCAGTCTCTGAGAGCTTGCTGGGTGCCTCTTTGCTTCCACTGGGCTTCTGCTGTAGAAGCAGCAATGACCCTATCCATACAGTCCTTTCTATAATGCAGTCCCCTCTGCCACCTCGGTTACTGAACCTACCCAAGGTTTTTAAGACTCTAGCATGCTGCCCTCCCCTTTCCTTCACTGGGGTAGGTAAATAGGATGCAGAATCTGATACGCATCAACCACAAAAGAGGCCATATCTCTATTAAGCAACTTGCTGTGCTCGGCCACATAGCAGCACAAATGTTTCTATATCATGCAGAGCCCTGATTTGGCCAACTGCGCACCCAAATACACAGGCATCTCCTGGAAAAGCTTCAGCTGACCACGAGAGCTGTCTGTGCCTGCAATGGGCCCGCTGGCTCAGCACCGGCCAGGTCTCTCAGTCTGGATCACGTAGGAAAGCATACCTGTACCTAGGAAGAAAGGACATGGACCCCAGAAGAGCCCCAGGCAGTGGGAGCAGACCAGAAACATCTTAACAGGAGATGATCTGAGCTCGTCACTTCTTGTCAGCCATGTTCTCCGCAGAGGAGAGTCTCTCTGGAGCCCTGTTAAATGGTGTCCAAACCGTGGGGTACCTCCACATATAGCCCAGGCTGCTCCATCAGGAGAGAGAAGGTCAGCTCAGACCACTGCAATCCAGAAACGTGACCTGCAGGGAGGAGTCACTTATTTTCAAGACAGAAAGAAAACAAATATCACTATGGCCAGCCGTGCTGATTGACCCAGGATATCCTTTCTAGCGCAGAAAATTTTTCCTTGCTGGGGAAGAAATCGTGATGAGTGCACTTGACCTCCTTAACTAAACTCTTAGTAGTCTGGTACAGACTCCAAAGGAGGTAAAGGCCTAAGCCATAGCTGGGCCAAGAACTCTAGAAAACCCACAAAAGAGCTGAGCAACACAGTGAGCATCGGTGCATGTGAGCTTGCAACACCAATCGTGCAATTAATGCATGAATAGCGAGTGGTTTTATCGAGACTCATCAAGGAACAAAGAAAGTTGTGGGTGCAAGAAGTCTTGTGCATACCTTCCCATTGTATGCAATTTGACTATGAGCCAACCACTTTATCCCATAAATATGACCGCCTAAGTGAGCCTTCTTTGAGTTCTTCCTGCTAGGCAGTGTGGCTGCATGATGGTGATCTCCCCTTGGGCTGGGATGCCTCTCAAGGCTATTCCTCGAGGCAGCAAGACCTTTTACCAACAACAGATCTTTGGATGAGTCCAGTTTGAGTGCTCCCCAAATTGCAACTGGACTGCAAGCCAAATGACTCACCTTGAGCGGGGATATCTCTCGAGGTTTGAAGATTCCTTACCTGAGACTAAGAGATTCTTCCTTACCAAGGTGGAAAGACCCTTTACTTGCAACAGACCCTCAGTAAGTGACTGATAGCATGCTGAATTAATACTAATGATATCCATGTATCTAGTTCCATCAGACATAAACCGTTCACCAAGTCTGGATCCAGCCACACCTAGACTCCTCTCTGAGGAGGAGTTTAGAAAGCAAGTGGGTCTATTCTGAACCTCATGTCTCAATGGGAGGATCTCCCTTACTCTTTTGCGTCTCTGGTCTCTGTGTAAACAATTCTAAATCGGTTCTAACTTGATTCTCCTTTGTATGTTTCTTCCATGTGGTAAGTAATAGAGTGAACCTTGCCATCAAACTTTGTTAAGTCGCACTTTTACAAGTTCACATTAAAATAAATTTTGCCAATGGTGATTCTTTAAGTGATCTAAATCACCCAACAGTGACAGGAACAAAATACTTTATAATTTCAAAATACATTTCAATAATTTGACTATTTTTATTAAATGATTTTAAATATAGTACAACAGCACTAAGTCCGAGGGCAGTATTAAATGTTCATTAAGTATTTAATAGTAACAATAAGCAAGTATTTCACTAAATGAACAGCTCATTAGCTGAATAAACAGATTGCTTTAATAAAGCTGTTGTGGCACGAGCAGTCTATGAACTGACTCTGTGTTTTGAAATTGTATAATCCTGTCATGACCTTGCTTTGAATCATTAGTCAGAGCCCACAAGCAAAGTAGTGGATTCGCTCTGGGTAGTTTAGAGCAATATTTGAGAACAGATCACAAAGCAGAAACATGTGTCTTGCTGGCAGCTGTGCTGCTGACCGAACACAGTCACAGCCGCTCTCTGACTCAGGAGCAAGCCTTGCAGCACCTAGCTTTACCCTGCAAGGATAAGCCAGGTCTGTCCAACAAGGGAGATCCCAGCACTATTTATGACATGATTGTCCACCCCACTGCGCCACTGTCTCCAAATCGTGCCAGTCTGCGTTGCCTTTAGTATTTCAGACAAAAAAAAAAGACTGACAGATCCTTTTCCCCTGCTGATGTGCAGCAATAGCAACTGCAGCATCCTGACCCAGAGCTGAGTGCATTCACAGCCTAGGTGAGTTACTGTGTGCTGACTTACAGATACCTTTGGGAGCTTTCCAGCCCTACAATGATATGGTACTAACAGAGAGCATGACCTCAGCGTGAGTTTTCTCCAGGCACTGCCTTGCCTCTCTCCAAGCTGCTGACCAGTGAAGAAAGGAAGCATGCAATGTGCTCAGCTAGTTTTGCTACAGAAACAGGTGCAAGTTTGCAGGCATGTGTATCCACAGATGCCCACTCCCCACTTGGATGTCTGATCACTAGGAAAGCAACACAGCCAGCACAAACAGCAATCAGAAGAGGATAGCAACTTCCTGGCAGAGGCTGGATCCAGCACCTCTATCCCTGCACTATGTGGTTTGCTCCTCTGATAATAGGAGTGATACTAGAATCAATTAAGCAAAACTTTGACCTTTTGAGGCATTTTCCACTGTGAGAAATTCAGTGGAAATACCTAAGTGCAGCAACATCTGTGTGAGCAAAGGCACCCGCAGCAGTAGCCAGTCCACTTCTAAGTTTCAAAGAAATAAGTTTCCCTGAAGCAACAGCAAACCACAGGCCGCACACCACCAAGCCAAGAGCAGCACCGTGGAAAAGGAAATAAATGCTGCAGGCTGCTGAAGAGCCACTGTTCACTGTGACCAATTTCAGAGCTGCAAGAAGGCTTGACCACAGGCAAAGATGATGATGCACCACAGCCGCAGCCTTTGCGCACTGCCTGGTGGCAACGTGGCAGACAGCCCCGGTGTTAACTTGTGCAAGGGAAGAGCTCCATGGACCAGACACCAGAGGGAGCAAAGAGGGGTTGTTTTTTTAACACCAAAGTGCCACTCCCTTTCCTTGCCATTCAGACTGCCCCATGGGAAGTGCTGCTGGGGCCAGAGGGCACATGGAGGAGCACGGTGCCTTTAGGGAGGGTAGCGCTTCTGCTCAGCAACAAGTGCCTGGCTCCACTCAAGCTGAAGCCTGTGTTTTGAGAACAGTCCCCTTCCCAATGGCCAAACTGGGCTTGGGGTGCCTGGTCTGTGCTGCCCACACCGCACCTCCCTGATCCCCAAGTCCTGATGTTTCAATACCGGAGCCCCAAAGCTTCACGGTGAGGACCCCGTGCCCTGCCAAGCAGGGAAACTGGGGTCAGGCTCCCAGATTTCTACTATGCTGCCGGAGAAGGAACAGAGTGCTGGCCCCTGATCAGAGAGGCCTTCAGGGCTTTGGCCATTGCAGAAGCCCGCTGCCCCAGATGAGAAGACAGGTGCTACTTACTAGAAAAATATACCTTTATTTACCATCTGTGTTTTGCTCAGGAGAGGAGGCGGTCCTGTGACACGGTCCTGAAGCTATGCCATTGATGATGGCCAGCACACCCCCACCAGCACCATGCAGGGGCTGGCAGGACCAGGTCTCCCTGGGAGACTCTGATTTGTTGAAAGACTGGGACTCAGGCCCCACTGTTCTCCACTGCCATGTTGTTCATTTCCTGGCAGCAGCGCATGTAGTCTCCCCATCAGCCCCCCCACCACAGCACAGTGATGGTTTCTCTCCAGGGCTGGGATGTCACTCATGGCACTGCTGCTCCTGGCACACTCATTGCAAGACAGTCAGGTCAGGATGCATTAAATAAAGGGGTTGGGGGACATTTTCTGGGATGGGAATGCTCGATAACTTAACACAAAATGAACATATCACACGTAACAAGCCAGCTAGCAGGCAGGTGCCTGTTGTGCAGCAGTCACAGTGCCGAGTGCCTGGGCAGAGTGGACAGCCATGGCTCAGGGCAGGCAGTTGAGGCCTCTGCACTACTCGTTCCCACGCCACTGCCTGCGGGCGCAGGTGCCCAAATCCCTGGCTCGAGGAGCCTCCTTGACACCCGCCAGTTGTCCCCATACCCCTGGTGGCCCAAGCTCACCAGGGCCACAACACCATGTGAGGCCACTGGCACCAGCATCTTCTCAGGTAGCAAGTAGTGAGTTTCAATGCAGTCTTCAGCACACTACATTTTGAGTTAGTTGGTTTTTTGGAGGGGGAAAACGTGCAATTCTCTTCGAGTTGAAGCAGTACAGCCCCAGTCCTTCCCAGAGGTTCGCTTTCAAGCCTTTACCAGTTGCTTGAGCCCTCTCACGCTGAAGGCCAAATCATAGTTTCTTGGTGGGCTTCATGGTGCAAGACCCTGGTTTGGCCACTGCCGCTCAGGCAGCATCCACCCCTTGCGCATCCTAGTGTGTGTTTGTGGGGCTGCCAGCCATGATCCAACAATCCCATTTAAAGCTTAAATAAGCCAAAGAATGTCTTGGATTCCTCAAAATTAACCAGAGCGATTTTGGAGACGTTGACGTACAAACTGTCCATCTTCCTGAGCTTGAATAAAGCCCCCAGGTAGCTTTTCCGGGCCCACGTTTTCTGACTTGTACAGTAGTTCATGCCTTTGTCCTCCATCAGCACGTGGCTGCCTGGCGAGGTCGGGTTTTTCTTGTAGACAATGTGAGTCAACACCTGGCTGCTGCAGACGCTGCCCCGGAAAAGCACGTTGGAATACACAAAGTACAGGCCAGTCTCATTGATGACAAGGCCCTGATCACGGTACTGAATGCCGTTGGTGAAAGCATGGCCAGAGATGGGTTCCCACTCCAGAGGGAGGTCCCGCTGGGCTGGGTTCCCTGGAAGTCAAAATAAGAGAAAAAGCGTGGTAAGTACAAGCAGTTGTGTGTTTTTTCCTCAAGTCACACCCTATGTCACAACAAGTCAACTGTTCTCCAAGCCCTTGTCTGCAGCATGGGAAGTCCACCCCAACCTTGCACTGGTGGGAGCTCTCACCTTCACCTTGCTCAATGCCAGCTGTCTATGACAGCCTCCTGCCCCCCACACGCCTATGCAAACCAAAAAACAAACCAAAAACTGAAAAGCCTAAATGAGGGAAAGATTTTAGCTGTGGAGTAAATTCCCACTGTCAGAGCACACATGTTACCAAAGGAAAATAGGAAAGCCTGTGTGAGGCAGGCTCCTCAGAACTATGACCATGCCATCCTCTCACCCCAGCCACATCTGCCCTATCTCCCTACTCCCACATTTTGCCTCTCAGCACCTACCTGTTAAGTGTGCTGCCTTTCTTGGTTCCTTTTTCATTGACTGCTCCTGCCCTGCACAAAAATAGGGAAGACGTTAGCCATATGCTCCATAGAGAAGCCAGCCCAGAGAGCAGAAGGGAGCCAGCCACGAAGATGAAATGGGGCAGATTCAGAGCAGCACAGGGCACATAGCCACCATGGCTTAGCACAGTGAGGCAGGGCGGTGCTTGGGCAAACACCACAGGGCCAGAGAAGGAGTTAAAAGGGAAGAGTTGCAGCAAAGGATCCAGATGTGATCAAAAGCAAGGGGAAAGAGCAAGGAGAGCTTTCATCTTAAAATGGTTCAGCTGATGAGCTCAAGCAGAAGTCTCTTACTCAGGGTGTAGGAGAGGGACAATATTGCCTCTTTATACAGCAATTCTGACCCATGCCAAGGGGACTGGTCATGTCCTGACAAAGACAAGCCTGCCGTATTGCTCCCCTCCAGTCCAGCACTGCTCAGTACCAGCCCTCCTTACAACTAGATCAAAGAATACGCTTGAGACATCCTGCAAACCACCCTGCTGGCCAGGCAGACTTTGTCCTCAGAGAGGCAGAGCACAGCTAGGAAAATTCTGCCTTCCCTGGAGGGCTTGGTTCCCCTTGGAGAGATGGGCCAGTTATAGTGACTCAGTATTTGCATCCCAAAAAAAGGATATCCTCACTGATAACATTAGCATGGAATATAAAATACATAAAAAATATGATTTTTAAATTGTTCCATTCAGGTTGAAACTCTTTTTTTCCTAAATGAAATTTAGAAAAATTGTCAGGTTCTTATGGAAAGTTTCAATTTCACTGAAATGACATTTCTAAAAGATAAAACCACACATATAATCAGGCTCTTCTCAACTAGCTTTGGCTGTGGTGAGACTTTGTACTTCAAGAATTTACACAAAAATAAGTTGCGTTCTCAAAGGTGGGATTGAATCCCCCACCCCCATGAGAAAAAACCCCTCTGCATCATCCCAAAGTCTTAAAAGAGTAAGGAGAGAAAGAAGTGACACGTGCAGTGCCTGTCTCTGTTCTCGTCCTTCCGTTCATGTTGTCAGTATATGTCAGGATAGCCAGAAACTCACTTTTACAGCAGAGTACCTGTTGCAGAGTTGACCCGTGGGCTGGGGAAGGCCCCAAGGTGGGGGCACACTACCCCAGGAACCTGTGGCTGACACCTCTAAGCACTTCAGCAGGCAGCGTGCAGGACCCCATCCCCAAACCCCAGAGATAAAGCTCCTTTTCCAGAAAAGCAAGTGAAATCAGCACTTCGAGAGCATCGAGCTGTGACCCTGCATTTGCCCCCCGATGAGAGGAGGGAAGAGTTTGACACATGCTAACACAGAGGGGATCCCTCCTCTATGTACATCAACTCACCTATGAGTTTCTCCAAAGCTGGAGGAATGCGTTCAGTGCTGATGGACTGTCAAAAGAGAAGAGTGACAAGTTGCCTTAGCAGTATAAGAGCATAAGGGCATCACCTAAAGCAGTGAAGTACTGTCTTGGACAGTGGCTAATTCTGGAGCCTTATGAGGAACTGCAAAGTGCTAAGGAATAAACAGGGAGAGGGACTGTGCAGCACTCAAGAAACGCAAAGACATCCAAATATATCAGTCAACAGTAGAGCAGTCCCACACAGTAATAAGCAACCCCACTTACGCTGGCATGGCAGACATTAAAATGCCACCAGCCTGGCCCTTGTGGAATTCTGCACCACCTGAGCATCTCAGACCAAATTTTAAGTTTTTCTTTTTTTCCTGTTTCTCCAGAGCCTCTGTGACCAGCCAGGCAGACCTCACCTCTCTGAGTTCAGCCAGTTCCTTCTCTAGGTGGAAAATCTGAAACATGCTCAGTCCCACTCCAGTGAGGGCCAGCAGAATCAGCAAGGGGATCACCAGGAAGCCGACGCTCCTCGTTTCTCTGTTGTTCCTTGGCTTTCTCCTCCGGTCAGGTACTGGTGGTGGGAAAGGAGCGACGGGGGGTGCCGGGGGGCAGGAAGTATTGTTGTTGGCACAGCCATCCACCCAAAAGATCTGGGGGTATACGTAGTTCAAGTTCTGCTGCATGGCTGGGAGCGGGATGGGCTGGACGTGCTTGGTGTGATCTTCCATATGGCAGCCAAAAACTGCCGGCGCTGTCCCAGACTGAGCCCTAGGGGAAGACTCATCTCTGCCTTTATACGCCTGCATCACTCCAGCAGTGAAGACCCAGCTCAGATACTGCAGCTCTATGAAAGCCTCAAGCATCAACAGCAAACCCCAAAGAGTTTCCGCCCTCAGCTACAAGTTCAGGGCACCCGCCTGCTCCTCCCACACCGAGGCAGCACGCACAGACAGCAGGACCAGCCTGGTGGCAGACTGCGCTCGCACAAAACTGCGCTCAGTGGCCAGGGTCAGGAAGCAGGTGCCCTCAGCAGCAAAGTGCTCATGGGGCGCGCGAGGGCTGTGCTGCCAGTCGGGGGCTGAGTAATCAGCCCAGAGCACACCCACCAGCCCAGCCTTTCCAGCAGCCCACTCGGGCAGAGGCAGCAGCTTTTCCACTGTGGTGTCCTGGACCACAAGCAGAGCAACAGGAACGACAAAACTGCTGGCATCCTGCACGAGAGGGGAGAGGCAGAGCTGAGGACTCCTCCTCTCAGCAGAAGGATGAAGACCTGATCTCAAGCGCAGCTGTAGGTGCTGGGGAATTGCTTCATTTCACACAGGACAAGTCACTTACCACTGACTGCTGCACACCCCGCCTTTTCCTTACCTGCTCCTTAGGGCAAGATACAGAGTCACGGAACACCAGTCACAGACTGTGTTCCACTGTGATAAAAACCAGCCTAGCCAAGAAGAGGAACAAGGGTCAGCGCTGCAGCCTCAGGAGAGCTGCCCCAGCATTAGCAGCCCAAGTAGAGCGAGCTCAGTGCGCTGCCTTCACCCACACCAAATCACTGCGGGACTCCGGCCAGGCTGAACCAGTGGTGTGCTGTAATGTGGGAAACGCACAGTGTCTTGGGGCACAAGCAGGCTCTTCTGGCAGCTTCTGCTGCCCCTCTTACCTCTGCAAATACTATCTCCAAGCCCACAGTCCTCTTCTAACCTGAAGATGACTTAGGGAAGGGCTTTTTGTCATCTCTTCCAGTCAATGCTGAGCACTGCAGCAGGACCTAACCTGGCTGAGTAACTTGTGATTAAAGCCTGGGGTAGACAGTGCTACTGATCTTGGTAGAATTTCTCTTGCCTTTCAAGAAAGGATCCAGAATTCAGGCCATGCTGCAAGGACCAGCACTTAAAAGAGCTCATTACAAAATCATAATGAGGACAGACAGGGACATTTCCATTCCTCAATTTCCATTTTCTATTGACCACATATTTCTAAGCAGTGGCAGTGAGATCTCCCAGATTTACAGGTACACGCAAGTGATTATAGACAGAGGTTTACTCTTCTGTTTTAAAGACTTACATTGAAGTGTTTATTTGTATGGGGTAATGTTTAAAAGAAGGAAATGCTTAATAGAAGAACAAACTGCAGATTTGTCTCCTCTATGGCTAAAGGAAGCAATCCCAACACGCAGGCTTTGATCTTGAACATCAAAACTGGGGTCTGAGAACAGCAAGATTTAACAACACGTGCACACTTGTTTCTCCAAAGCAAGGGCTCAGCTTTGCCTCCAACCACACCAATAAGTAAGACGTGTCCTCAAAGCCTTGTCTGCACCACCAGACACCTCACTGCTTTTTGAAGATGTTCACCACAGTCTTTTGCTGCAGCAGCAATCCGCAGCACGAGAGGTTTCAGCAACCCATCCGGCTCTTCCTTGTACTTTTAGGTTTCTGACATAAAAGCAACATAAATCCAGCTCCAGCAGATCAAGCCTGGTCATGCCTACCCTCACTCAGTCCTCCTCTCTACATCCCAGAACAGTGCTCCCCAACCAGCCTGAGGACAGCTCCTCATCCACTCATATGACCATTACAAGAAAGGGTCACACAAGGAGCTGGGCTCAGCTCTGCACCTCCCATGCCATGTGGTGAACTCAAGCCTGCTAACCGGTGCTGGGCATGGAGAGAGAGAGATGCCTGCAAGGCACGGGGAGCCAAGAGAGGCAGCAGAACAGTTGGGCAAGCATCTCCTGCCAGCGCACTCTCCACCAGCCCGCCTGCACAGCACCCCAGCCCTGCTGCTGCCACAGGTGCCTGAGCCACATGTGGAGGGACTCGCCACCCACTCGGGCTCTTCGCTCAGCAGTCGGTGCCTGCACTCCCTTGCTCTCAGAGCGGCAAGCACAGCGCGCCCATGGCTCTTTGCAACATGGACATCAGAGAGTTCCTGTTTCTTTAATGCCCTCTGTGTTCTTCTCAACTGCTGTAAAATGCAATGATGGCTCTGGGAGCATGCACTGAAGCTCAGGACTTCCTCACAGTTGGAGGCATTGCTGACAAGCGTGTCGAAAGTCATCGAGTACACAGCTTTGCCTGGAGAGGATCCACTCAAGTTTTTTCTGACACTAACTGTGATTAATGCAGACAGCTTATCTTGGTGGGATTGCAGGCACAATAGCAGTCTCCCTTAAATGTCACAAGTGTACTTATTTCTCACCCACTGCTTCCTATTTTCACAAAGTTGCCTTTTTTTTATGGGTGGGTGAGAGGGGAGAAACGATGAAACCAATGAAAGCCATTTCAGCCATGGCTGCTACATCTTCTCTTTTGGACGCTCAGATCAACAGCCTGCTAGTACCACATGTTGTGGCAAACCAAAGGTTGGGGCTATTTTACCATCAAAAGATCATTATTGGTGCACAGCATGCTTTTAGAGACCTCTCACTTCCTAGCACACTCTACTACGCTGGTCCTGCTGTCGCACGCTCTGCTTCCCCTGTCACCACCTTCAGAGATCATCAAGATGATACATGCTGGCAGACAGTGTCAAGTGGGGCTGCATCTGTGGAGCATGTCATGATGCCTGCAGGCTCTGTGTTCTGTTGTCATTCAAGCAACACACAACATTAACAGAGCTTCAGAAATAATAGCGGGACAATTTGCTATAGGCAGACACTTAAGTCACATGAATTTATTTTGTTAGAAGGCCTAGAGCTAGAATTTAGGTTGAGCTCTCCTAAAATACGGGGCAACGACAGCCAGGCAGGAATGGAGGATGTAGGAAGGACAAAAGGGCTATCAGGTTTGTCTGCCTCCCCTCTTCACCCACCCTGCAAGATGCACGCTCTGTTTTCAGCAGCCTTATGTCATTTGAACAGGAAGGAGTATTTTCAAACAGGAACACCTTCCATACCCTTTATCAGAGAATCAACCCCCTTTGCCAAAAAACAAAAGACAAGCCACAGTTATACAGACAGAAAGAGGATTTGCTCAGAAGAACCCCCCTCATCCCCAGAGGAGAGGTGGAACCTTTTATTAGCAATACAGACTCTTATGGTAAAGTTTATGTTGACAGCAAAGAGAGTCAGCCAGCAGCTAAAAGTTTATACCAGCAGATTTAAGGACAAAAGGATGACCTGCTTGAAATACACCAAAGAAAGCAGGACTTGAACAGTGATCTGGATCTAATACTTGACAAAAAATAAAATTTAAAAACCTTAAGTGTGAACCTCTGTGTAGGAGACGCTCTCATCAGGTTCTGGACAGAGTCAGATATGTGTCTGTCTGAAAGTGATTAATATTTCCTATTACACTAGTGACTCGTGGAAATGCTAAAAAGTAACTATTGAAAGCCCACAGGGCTGCATAAATTACACCCAAGAACAACAGAAGAAGCTGAGAATCAGTCGTATTCAAAACATTAACCCAAGAGATTAACAGCCTCAGCAACCTTTCGCACTCCCAGGCTAAACTGTGCCATCAGATCTTGTAGAGGCAACTACTGCAAACCCCGTAAGGATCAGCCACAGCTGGCAGAAGCGATGGCAGCCATTAACACTCACCAATGGGTACAGTGGAAAGAGTAACCGAGAGCACCATCCAGGACAAGGCTTCTGATTTTCCACCAGGATTGTCCTCAACACAGCACTACTTCAACACCTTCACCACAGCCCTGGAGAAAACCAAACAAAATATTATCCCAGTAATACTTGCAGATTCAAATAACTGGTAAGAGATCCTAAGTAGCCATGAGGCAGAGAAAATCAGAAGAAAACAAGTCTGGAAACAAAGACTACAGATCAAATTCTTTAGATAGAAAATAACATCCTTGAAAGAAAACACGGTTCTGAAATTAAGAGGCTGCCCAGCTGAACACGAGCTTCCAGCAGGGAAAGCCCACAGGCTCCCATACAGCACTAGACAGCTGCAGACAGTCCCAGAACCCACGTTGTAAGTCCGTGTTCAGTTTCAGAGGGCCTCAGGAAGAAGTTACAGCAATTGCCAGGCAGCAAAGTTGTTCAACTTGGTCCATTCAAGAGCAGATTGGCAGGGAGGGATGGACAGTGTGTGAAAAACCTGTATAAAGAGGGATGATTTCCAGTAGGCAGAGGGCTCTTGAATCTCAGAAAAAACCTTCCCAGGTAGCCACCAACCAGGAACCAAAGCTGAAGGTGTTTTGACTGAATGTGGTCACGGATGCTTGTGAGAACTGCCTCCAAAGGGAGCAGGATCTCCAGCCACTGAAGCCTTTGATGGGCATGAAAGACACCAGAACTCACCTAGCCTTTGCAATTAACACTGACATCTTAGTATCACTTTATTACATGTTTTTTTTTTAACAGTTCCATTTCCCAGACAAAGGTGATGCTTTTCATTTCCTCAACAACTGCTCTCTTCGCTAGAAGCCTTTGCAGCACATGCAGAGCCATGTCTTGATGCCAACAGCTCATGAGGAAGACCTTCACATTCACACTCAGGAGCGAGTTTCAAAATCCATTTCTAACAGCTCTGGCCTGGCATTGCAGTGCTTAATATGCTCCTCATTCCAGTGAGCAGGAGCAAGGTGCTTTGGTCTCTCCTTCACCGTGATCCCAACAAGCAGACAGCAGCCCTGGATTCAGCAGAAGAGGTACAGAGCTCTGACCCGAGGCAGGAGAGAATACAAGCAGGGAAGGAGCCAAAGCAGCTGAGAAAAAGAGGAAGAATTGAAAGCAGCAGAGTAAGACTTTATTTCTTTTGTGTCTGTAATAAGAGCAAGGAAATGAGGTACAATGGTTATGAGGTAATGGGATCTATTGCTTGAACATCTGAGAAAGAGAGGA